ACATCTTGTTGATCCTGCTGCTGCTATTGTTTATTAATGTCTTTACATCTTGTTGATCCTGCTGCTGCTATTGTTTATTAATGTCTTTACATCTTGTTAATCCTGCTGCTGCTGCTATTGTTTATTAATGTCTTTACATCTTGCTGATCCTGCTGCTGCTATTGTTTATTAATGTCTTTACATCTTGTTGATCCTGCTGCTGCTATTGTTTATTAATGTCTTTACATCTTGTTGATCCTGCTGCTGCTGCTGCTGCTATTGTTTATTAATGTCCATACAACTTGTTGATCCTGCTGCTGCTATTGTTTATTAATGTCCATACATCTTGTTGATCCTGCTGCTGCTATTGTTTATTAATGACTTTACATCTTGCTGATCCTGCTGCTGCTATTGTTTATTAATGACTCTACATCTTGCTGATCCTGCTGCTGCTATTGTTTATTAATGACTTTACATCTTGCCGATCCTGCTGCTATTGTTTATTAACATCTTTACATCTTGCTGATCCTGCTGCTGCTATTGTTTATTAATGTCTTTACATCTTGCTGATCCTGCTGCTGTTGTTTATTAATGGTTTGCTAAATAAGAAATAAAGTGAAATATTCTCTGTTTTTTTATTATTAACATCAGTTTCTTTACAAGTCAAAGACAAATAATGGACTTGTCATACAACCTGATACACGACTGCACATTTTACTGTGTTGAAAGGGGGAACTTTTTTCCTAAAAAAATAGTAATTCGAATCACATATACTACAGAATTTATAAACATAATTACAGTTTCCATGCTAGAATTGTAAGAAAATAATTTTTATTTGCTGCAAGTATAAAGGTTATTATTTCAGTTCAATGTCAGGACTCATCTGAACTTCATCTACCTCAGCAGTGCTTTATACCAAAGTGACCGTAATTTTCAAGATTTTTTTACTTTGTGTATTTTTAGAGATAAAATGAGCCAAATGCAAAATAAATAGTGACATATATAATTTCTATGGGAGGAAGAGTGAGATTATTGAGATAGAAACACTTAACATGTCTTACATTAATGGACTATATCAAACCTTATTTCATTTGTACGATGCTATTAGAAATTGTAATTTTTAACCTTTTAAGACTGTTACAAAAAATTTTTTTTTTCCTCCACAAAATTAGTTATGTTTCATGCAGTTTGATTCTGTAGCTTGTAGTGTTACTTGAATGTTACGTTTTATCAAAGATTTTCCGTTTAATTCTGTAGCTTGTAGTGTTACTTGAATGTTACGTTTTATCAAAGATTTTCCGTTTGATTCTGTAGCTTGTAGTGTTACTTGAATGTTACGTTTTATCAAAGATTTTCCGTTTGATTCTGTAGCTTGTAGTGTTACTTGAATGTTACGTTTTATCAAAGATTTTCCGTTTGATTCTGTAACTTGTAGTGTTACTTGAATGTTACGTTTTATCAAAGATTTTCCTGGAAGCTTTTCAAAAAATGTTTGTTTGTAAGCATGGGAACTCTGAATTTCATAAGGGGTAATCTGTAATTGAGATAATGATGAGAGAGAGAGAGAGAGAGATGCATACTAGAATTTATTTGATACAGTAACAAATTAATTAAAAATTTTAGAACGTATTTGAGAATGTTAACTGCTAAAAGAAAATGAATCGAACAATACATAAAAATTTGAGTTCTTGAAATAAAACACTGTCAATAAAATAGTTTCATGAGCTAAACACTGACAGAAAACATACAGATCAATAAAAATAAACAGAAATTTGTGTCACTAGAGGTTACATCACATGTGTTTTATACAAAACCATCAAAAACTACAACAAATGTAATAAACTAAAGTATGATCTGTAAGTCAGTAAATTGAACATGAAACCAGTAGAGTTTCAAACCTTCAAAAGTTGTTAAATATATCAGTTCTTCAAATCTTATTGTAAAGAAAAATCTAAATTTAGCCTTAGCATATGGTGATGAATAGAACATAACATTACCTTTGTCAGTACTAAGGTACACATTTTTGTGATAAGTTTATCTGAAGCGAATTAGTCTTTCATCTAATATATTATTATGTATAGATGTAAAATAAAAAGAAATGTACCATATTTGTTTAAAGAAGTTTTAGGATAATTTATTATTGTTTTAAATTTGAATTGTAATTTAAAGATATATTTACATTATTAAGTTGGTAGTTATTACATATATCAATGTAATTGAGTGGAATAAGCACCTTTTTTTTTTCTTCATACATACAGGTTTGGCTTTCCACACTTTCCATGGAAACTTCTTTGTCAGGTCCACAGATTTGTTGTCTCTTCCCAATGTGAATCCTGATGCAGGTTATGGCTTACAGGTTGCTATTGAGGAGAACTTGACAGACTACAAAAATGTCTGTTTTCAAGCTGCTGTGCTTTACACATCTAGTAAAGGTTGGTATCTCAATATATTCTGCCTCTACATTACTATAAGTGTTTAGTAGCAACAGTATACATAGTAGAAATGTTTACATCAGTCTTACAATCTAGAATGCTGTCCTTTGCATGTATGAAATTTATTTGTTCTGCTGTCTAATTTGAGCACATAATATCATATTATTGTGTTAAAGAAAGTTTAAAACCTTGACATTTCAGTTATAGTTTTATTTTGGAGGTAGTATGAGGATACATCACACATTCTTTTTACAAAATTTATTTTGCCCCTGTGAAAATCCAAGATACCAAGTTGTAAAGAGTTAACCCTCTTGTAACTGGAAGGTCAAAGTGCTCATACCACAATCTTTTGCACAGTTACTTTCAAAACTTCATTTAACTACTTTATTATCAATGTATATAAATAAACTTGATATTAAAATGTTGTCAGTAAATCACATTTTAATAATGTATGAATTTTAATTTTGAAAGGAAATATTTGAATTCTCACTCTCTCCTTTTATGTATATCATAATATTTTTTACTCTGTATTATTTCATCACCCCTCTCTGATGTCCTGAGTTTAATGTAAATTACTCATTATAGCATAGATATTATTCAGACAGTCTTATTTTTATAACATTTAATCTTCTTTGTTATGGAGATTTACTAGAAAGCCAGATCTACTTGTCAAGTCCACCTGTTACACCTGCTCTTTTTGAAATTGGCAATAATTCTGACATTTTCTATTACATCATTTATAACCAAGAGAATGAAAAAGTTTTAATTTAGTGAATGACGTATAGTGTTATATTAAAATAATAAATAATATTCAACGTTAAACTGCTACACAGTTAAAAACATTTTATTTAGGCCTATTTATGGCCTTCAGAAAGTTGACGACTCTACATGTTTCGACGTTACAACGTCATTCTCAGGAGTTGTAACATGTTGAGTCGTCTACTTTTTGAAAGCCATAGATAAGCCTAACTAAAATGTTTTTAATTGTGTACCAGTTTAACGTTGAATATTATTTATGATTTTAACTTTAAGCACAAGTGCCAAAAATACTATAATTATAGTGTTATATTGTTCTCAGTAGAAAGTTTTAGATATTTCACCAACAGATTGTAAGTTTGTTATTGCTGAGTTCAGATCGATTAACTGAGGGGATTATTTTATGGCACTTGTGCCTTAGTTAGAAAGCCAGTTAAATTATAATAGTTATAAGACATTGTTTACTTTATGTTGGTTGTTATTTTGTGTTCTCAAGTGCATTCTTGAAATAAATAAAGTTTACTTAATGTTTGAGTACCATCATTGCAAAAAAAAAAGTAGGCTTAAGTTTCACTGGCCAAAAGTAAGTACTTAATTTCTTGTTTATGTGTACATATAATTTATTTTTATAAAGTAACTAATATAAAAATTAGAAATTTACTATGTTAGATACATAAGCTGTATTTATTACATTTTGATATTTACATTTATTTACAAATGTGCATGGACCAATGGATGTCTGTTTATTAAAGATGACTTTAGGTAATGGTGATTTGTACTTTTTCATCATTTTACCAACAAATTGGTTCCTTAAAGATGACATTGTAAAGTCACTGTTGCTTCATTTTATTTTTCTGTCATGGTCATGTGATACTTGCAGTTGTCTTTAAGAATTTCTTTTTTTCAGTGTTAAGTTTAATGATTACTTTTAAAGTTTTAGTTTACTTTGTGCATTAATTTGATGTCTCAGTTACTTTGAATGATGAAGAGGAATAGGTGTGTGTGTGTGCACTACACCAAACTCACTTGGCCAGCTGCAGTATTTTGGTTTTGACAATGCACATTTCAGTTTGGTTTTTGAAGGTGGCGGTGGGCATACCCAAGTGATTTTTGAAGGTAATGGTGGGCATACCCAAGTGGTTTTTTGAAAGTGGCGGTGGGCATACCCAAGTGGTTTTTTGAAAGTGGCAGTGGGCATACCCAAGTGGTTTTTGCATACTAAAGTTTGTGTCACCAAATTCTTATTTGTATGTGTATCATTTTTAGCATGAAGTATTTTGGTCATCCATATATAGTAATGTATTGTCTGAGTGCATAATTTTTTACTCCATCGTTTCTTACTCTGTTGATTGTGTGGAATGAGAAGTGTGAAACTGTATAGTTTTAGTACAATGTGATATTATATATATATTTTAATGTAAGGTGTTTTTAATCTTTGTTTTTAGTTTAGTACTGTGTAAACTGATTATAGTTATATGGGTATGTTATTGAATGACCAAGCAGTTTAATATTGCATGGTTTAAGCAAAATGTGGTGTTTAAATTTCTAAGTGGTATTTGAGGTACATATTGTGAAAAAGTGAGTGGTTCAGTGTAATTTGAGTAGATAATGTAGTACTGTCAAGTTGAAGAATGTAGATTAATAGAATACTTCATGCACTTTGGTATTGTTTTATTTAAGTTTAGTGTGAGTGTATATTAAATTACTGTACTAGATTAAGTATTATATTCTGTAGTCTAATCATCTTGTGTAGCACTGTCTATTGTGACATTGTGTATCGTGAGTAGTAATATTGTTTAGTCTGAGCATGTATTGTATTACTGTACTAGATTAAGTAGAATATTCTGTAGTCTAATCATCTTGTGTAGTACTGTCTATTGTGACATATTGTGTAGTACTGTCTATTGTGACATATTGTGTAGTACTGTCTATTGTGACATATTGTGTAG